CATGGGTGAGGTGCAGGACTGTGGACTACACTCTGTGGTGATTGTCTGGTGGGGGTAATGCTTTTAATTCCTTTCATTTCTGGCTTGTTTTCCTCACTCTGTTTCTGTGTGCTTGCTAACTGAAGCTGCAAGGCCTCAATTTCCTCCAATATTCTTTTCTCCTCTCCATCCTGTTGCTCACCTACTGGTTTTGATGGGCCAGCTTTACCAGCTATCTGGAGCTCAGAAATTTTGTCTTGAAGATGGAGTAAGCCAGCCATACCTTCATCCTCGAGCTCTTCTAGCTCTACTCTCTGTATGTGGTTTGAAATTAGTGTGATGAGAGCAGTTCGGCCCTTGTTGGTAACATGCTCAAACTCTGCTCCGGCAATGATTAGATAGTCACACAGCTCCACCAAACTCTCTCGGGGCAACAGACACAATGCCCTTATTACTTCAAGCTGTAACTCCTCTAATCCGGTCGACTCCATCTTCCCAGCCAGATGTAGGTGCTAGCAGTGAAGTGGTACCTTTTAATCTTCGGGTAGTAATAGCAGCTCTCCTGGTATGCAGAAATACCTCAGATCACATGCAAGCTGCCCCAGACAATCGGACTCCCACTATCGCTGATTCGCCACCTGCTTCTGATGTTCCGGGTTGTTTAAAGGGGATGTGTGACGGCGGGGGACATCTGTTGAAGACGCTAAACCACGCTGCACACGATCCCAGCGGTGCCTCCAAATGTTACGCCCCTGTAAAAGAGGAAATATGACAAACGACACGGACACGATGCAGCTCAGTGTCGGCCATAGTTGTAATGAACATGAAAAGCATAATAACACATTTATACACTCAGTATCGCACTTAAACATGTTATTTTCCCTTTGCGGTAATGTCTTTATAAGAGCTTATACAATTAAGACAAATACAATTCGATCAGTTATGGCTCCATATTACTCAAATGACCTGAACCAGTCGTTAAAGTGAGTTACCAAAATATCAAATATGTTTACAACATCGTAAAACAACATGGGAAAATAACCTTGAAAAAAATACAAGACTCTTTCCTTTTCACATTAAACACTCTCTCTTTAGCTTATGCGATACTAACACTTTTACCTTATCCTTATAATATAAAACAAATACACACAGAGAAACCGGCACTTGCGGTGTTCTATTACGTCCCGCTTTGAGCCCAGCCCACGGGCTACGCCACGTGCTACACAGCTAGCATGCACGCTACGCTAGATGAACATTTCTTCACGTTTAGCTGCTAGATGATTACCATCATTAACATCTACTCCCGCATGTTTCTTACAGTATTGAAACACATATATACATTGATCAACCCTAATACAACACTCGTTCTTACCTGTAAAAGAGGAAATATGACAAACGACACGGACACGATGCAGCTCAGTGTCGGCCATAGTTGTAATGAACGACCCTAGCCACACGCTCCGTTCATAGGCAAAACGAGGCATTAGCAATCGCTCACAGATCGTCCCTGAATGAGGCATTAGCAATCAATCTGATTGCACTGATACCTAAACTTAAACCACCGAACAATGAATCACTGATCTACAGACCATTAGTGCATTTTAACTTTTACCTTTTTATGAACATTTTAAGTATATTTTACCTTATATTAACCCATTCAATGCAACAATAATACATCATTCTTATCATCCTTACACTCGTACTCTACAGTTCTTTGACACGTTTCAATATATGTTATAATTTCAGCTCCACTTGCTGGGATTTAACTACCAGGTGCTCTAGTGGTGTAATAGTACAGCATATACAATATGAATCTGGCTCTTCTCGAACCGGATAGAAGGAGGATCTTCCGTAAATAAGCATTTGTGATGAGATTCTTCAGGTGTCTACAGCTGTTTTTCGTGGCAGAAACCAGAAAACGTCTCATTTTAGTTTTGTCTCCCCCCCAAAAACCAGAAGACGACTTGGTGTGTTTGTTGAGGCAGCGTAAAACGAGCCAAGCGGGACGTTCTGATGTTTGACGGGCTCTCTGGGGGACAAACTACCTGAAGGTGGAACTGTTTCTAAATGACCTTTCGCCTGAGGGATGCAATTTATTCACCCACGAATTAAAACATTTCCCTTTTTTGATGAGAGAATTTCAGCAGGCGATTTTGTCGTTGGGTAATAAGTTCTCTGGATTCTTTGAGCGCACAAAGCGGTTCTTTTCAAGTCAAAGTTTGAATGCGAGACTTTGCCTAAAATGTCATTGTGGTCTTTGTACTAATTGTGAACTCTTGTGGTCTTGCTGGTTTTGTAACAGTCTAGAAGCATCACATCGGAATGTGGCATCTTCCCACCAGAGACCTCCGGTGTGCCGAATTGGAGGGGAAAGTCGTGTTTGAGTGGAGCGCTTTGGTTTCGGGTCTTCCTCAGCGCTCATGTGTCGTATCAACTACATGCTGTTCGATTTGACGGAGCAATCGAACCGAATCGCTTCAAATGTCGATGCCCGTTGTTGATTCCGGCGATCTGCGAGTGGCTTCCGTGTCTCCCGGGCCGAAGCTCGCCGGCCTTCACCGCCAACCCGTAAGCCTCTGAGAACTTTCTGAGACGCTTATCGGAACATTTCTGAGGTGGATGCAAGAGATGGATCCTACAGCTTCCTGATTTGGTAATTTCAAAGCGTGGGGCTTGCTGTTAGTGGGGGAATAAAATCAATAGGCCCCTCTGGAGAGGAGTATCGCTCGTAGTCTTGTGTTATGAGAGAGGATTCGAAGCAGGAAACGCAGCCGACGGAGGAGGAAATAAGGAGGAGCGAAGCCGCTTCAGCGAATAAACAAATAGAAAGCAAAGCAGGAGAGAGAACGCAAGAAGGAGACAAGAGACCAATGGGGGAAACAGTTGTCGCCAGAGACTTTTATTGACTGCCCCCCCTCCCTCTTCTGTCCACGTGACCACCATAGAAATCCACACAGAGAGAGAGAGAGAGAGAGCAGCGAGGGTAGAGAGAGAGAGAGAAATGAGAAAATAAATGACTGTGGAAAGATATGACGATAGGCTACACGCGCCTTTAAATCTAAAAGGGAATTCGCGACACACTCGACCAATTTGTCACCGTGCTTTTTGCCTCTTTTCATTTCTTTTTTGCTACTCCCCCCCCCCCCCTATTATTTTTCACCCCTTCAATACCCCGATGCCCCTAATTTACCCCACTTTCCCAGCGCAGGCCCGGCCGATGGGCACGTCCCTCGCTATCTGCACGTTGTGCAGCTGTCTGAGGATCTGGAATCTTCCTCCTTCTGCCTCGGCGTGGAACGCACCTGTCATAGGAGGTGTTTCCCCCTCGTGTCCAGGTCTTTATGTATCGGTTTGTAATTCACGACAAATCCATAAATCCGTCCACCTCAGCTGCTCTTTCAATCGGTCTCCCTTCATCTGTAACTACAATCAGATGCGTTCCTCCTCCTCCTCCTCCTCCTCCTCCTCCTCCTCCTCCTCCTCTGCAAACACGGGTCCATCACAATCTGAGAGAAAGGAGGAAATGAGATGCATTGTGAAAAAAAGAAAGAAGAAAAAAGAATGAACGCGCCCGCGGTAAAGGATGTCTGGAAAATAGGTGGAAGAATGGAATGGAGAAAAGAAAGAAAACGCAGACTTAAAGTATACCCCCCTCTCTTTTATTTAATTTAGACGCCAGGCGAAAATCGATCCTGCCATTCGATACGCAATCCGAATCAAGGCGAATTAAGCGGGCGGAAATTAACTCTGAAAATATTTTTGATGGAGTGGCTTGTAGTCTCTCGGCCAAATGGACTGCAAAGTGGAACAAATGACAGGGGCCTAGTGGTGGAGACAGCGCCGCTCCATCTTCCATTAGGCCGTAATGGGATAGGTCCAGCCCCCTAGCTCGACTCGGCTGCATTAATCAAAACAGCCGCTATATGAAGATTTATGGTTCTCCACTCCAGCGAAGCCAGTTCTCGGTGTGTATGTTTGAAGGAGGGGGTCGGAGTGCCTCCCCCCCCCCCCTTTG